AAAATGTAGACTGTTCAGAAAACTTGTTTCACAAAAGTGTTCTACGTGACTGCGTTCGGGTTCGTGGGCTGCATCTTGTTTGGTTTTTTCTTGGCGAGCTACCCATCTTATGTAATGACATGCACAACTACTGTACTGTAGCGTCCCTTCTCTGTTTACGTGCGTTCTTTGTCCTTATCATTGCGGGGTTATATGGTTAGTCACCGCTCATCCCTTTTGCGCCGCTCAGGACGGACTGCCCTGGTCGTGGTGCACCCCCTGCCCAACCGGCAAGCTCCCTGCCGGTTGGAGCAAGCACCAGCACGCCGATGGCGGCGCCCTTTACCTCCGCCCGGACGGCAGGCTGGTTTCGGAAGCCCCCACGTGGCATGAAACCGGCCTGACCGGCTCGGAACCACCTCCACTGCCTGGAAGCACCGCCGACGAGGCGCGCTGCTGCTATGATCTCCCTTGTCCCATTTCGCCGCCCAATGAAACACACATGCACGGGTCAGGTGCCATCTTTCACGATGAGCCCTTCATCGCGGACGCCGTCCAGGAGCAGCATCGAGCCAAGCGCCGACGCTGCAGACGCAAGCATGAGCCAAGCGCCACCTCCACACTGCAGCAGTCGCTTATGCATGTATAAGTGACCGGGGTCAATCATGCTTGCCGCAGGACAATCAAGAGCGGCTGCTTCTGCCCGGGTACTTCGCCATCCCGGTGGCCGCTCTTGATTCGTCGCGTCTGGCGCGGGAGATGGAAGTCACGCGGAATGCGAGGACCGACATCATAAAGTTTAGGTTAATTTGGCCACTTGACCGACCAGCTCCTCCGCATTCCCCCGCATGGCATCGTGTCTGTAGGAAACAAACCCGCGACCCTCTTCCGCTGGAACGAGAGCGTGGACTTGCCGCGGCGCTTGGAGGCGGTCAGTGGGCGCGAGGACGGTAGTGTCATCTACTCCTCAAAGCCCCTGGCCTGCAGCATCTCGGCCACGGAGGCTCCCAGCTCCTCATGTGCACAGTGGTTCTGCATGCAATGCTTTGGACCTGCCTGTGACTTAGGGACTTATAAGTTATCATGTAAGTGTAGTTATAAGTGGACAAGTTATGTCTACGTTGCTTCATAAGTGGTTAAGTGGCTGCTAAGTGGTTAGAGGTTAGGTGGCACTTACTATTAACTTAGGGGTACATATAAATTTGCTAAGTTAAGTGAGTTGGACTTAGCTGGCACTTAGCTTCGAATCGCGAACCTATGTTTTTTGAGGTTTGTTGGTTGGTAGGACGGAAACAGGTACGTTTTGCAGGCATTTTGGTTTTCAGGTGGCCTTTGTCTGCTTCCCGCTTCCTACAAGGAAGCGACAAGCGCATGGTATGACCATGTGCAGTGGAAGCAAGTCCATTTGGCGCCGGAGTTATATCGCTGCAGCAAATGGTTGAACATCTTGGCCTGGCATTTCTCTCGGAAGCCGGATCGCAGCCGAGAGTTTCAGTGGTGCCGACGCAGTGCCTGGCTTCTATGGGAAGCCAGACGCAGTCTACAGATTGCGTAGAAGAAGCAGAATAATAGCGTTGCAATGCGCTACATATCGTGCGAACCTCTAAACATCCTCTGTCTGCATGTGTCTGCGGATGTCTGCGGACGTTTGAGCCTCTCTGGGCAGATGTCTGCGGATGTCTGCGAACCAGGCCAAAGTGCTTGGGAATGACTTGCCGCTGTGTCTGCGAGTGTCTGCGACCAAGGAAAACGGCTGCTTTGCATGCGGTCACATGTCTGCGGATGTCTGCGGAAGGAGAAACAAAAGAATTTCTACTTTTGACAGATGTCTGCGGCCTTGGAGACCAAAACCACCCCTAAGCAAGGAGTAAGACCGTGGGATTTCGATTTCTGTGCATTTCATGCCGTGGTGCAAATATTGCAACCTTTCCTGACGGAGAAATTCATTCTAAAATGGAAACGCCTACGGGGCCCCAAACAAATCCTGCCTGCATCAAAACTGAACCAATGCGTTTGCTACGTGAAGATCAAGATGGTCTTTGGCTTTTGCGCTGACCATGCAACATCATCATGAAGAAAAAAAGCTGCCTCCTCACCTGACTAACCCAAAAAAAACCTCCAAATCTACAAAATAAGAAACCACCCAAACTAAAAAAAAAACAATGCAGATCACTTAGCTCACTTAGCGGCCACTTAGCTCACACTTTGCAAGCCCTCAAACCTAAGTAACCTAAGTGCCAGCTAAGTGCCAGCTAAGTGCCAGCTAAGTGCCAGCTAAGTTCCTAAGTTCCCAGGCGGCTCCAAAGTGGCCACCATGCACCATGATGATTGTCTTCCCGTGATCTCGACAATTAACGCTCTGCGGCCTTTGAAACTTTGCCAGGTGCTCGAGAACGCGGAGAGTTTGCAGACGGCGTATGCCCGGTTCCCGCTGCTCTGCGCTCCCTCGGCGATTTGTCATGTAAAGCAGCGGTGTAGCATGCAAATCAGAAGCATCGCATCCTACAGAATAAATGATGCTTAGCATCGCATGAACATATATGACTTGAGCACGAACTCCCCCACTTAAGATTCCCACAGGCCGAAGTCCACGTCGTTGTGACGACACATTCAACTCGAAGGGCGAAAACGTCACGGATGCACAGGCCTCCATCGGCTATGCCCTGGCCGAGGCACCTGCGCTGCGCACAATTTTTCTTTCATGTCATAGATCCGTTTGCAAGATGCTCAGGCGCAAAAGCGTCCTTCAATAACAAATGTATGTAAATATGCCATATGAAATGATGTCTGTCCCTGTCAGGCTGTGGGTCTCCTCGACAAAGCCCTCGTCGACCGATGGGATGCCATTCAGATGTCTCCTCATAGAGACGGCACCGGGATGCTTTCCCTCGGAAAGGGCCTTTTGGTCGTGGACGAGGCCAGTCAACTTCAACCGTTTTTTTTCTTGCGTGGCGAGCTACCTATCTTGTGCAAAGACATGCGCAACTACTGTACAGCTGTATGTCGCAAATTTGGCACTGCTGATGATTTTAGTTTTGAGGGTTTTGTTGTGGGGGTGGAGTTAGGGTGTACTAATGTTTCTCATCATGTCGCAAATTTCGATGGTTTGTCGCAAATTTCGATGGTTTGATCTACTGCGCACCGACATGATGCTAGGCGATCAGATCTCTTTTAGTGGGAATATATGGATGACAAGTTGTATGCAGAAGCTTCTAATGCAGCGCAATAATGTGCCTATGAGTTTCAGTGTTGTTTACAAGTAGCTCACAGGAGCAAACTGAATCAATTCTGTTGATAGAATTAAGCAGCGACCACGCTCTTAAGAACCCTGCGTAGCAAAAAGCATCCTCATGATTTTCAAATGTGCCATCACAGTTGGGAAATATTTACCACGGCCTCATTTGCAATCTATTGCAACCTTTCACATATGTGTTGTCATGTGTCTTCCCTCGTGAAGAATCATGCGTTCATAATACATGTTTCTTGCATGCGTCCGGTCTGGTAGGCAAAGGAGATATCAAGGAATCCAACATGATGATGACGAAGAAGAAGATGATGATAACGGTGATGATGATGAGTATGGTGATGATGATGATGATGATGATGATGATGATAGTGATGGTAATTGAGTAATCGTGATGATGATGGTGGTGATGATGATGTATGCATGTTGTTGCTGATGTTGGTGATGATCATGATGCTCATGACAATGATGATAATGATGGTCATGCTGATTATGATGGTGAAAAAGAAAAAGACGAAGAATAAAAATAAGAAGAAGGCAAAGACGAAGAAGAAAAATAAGAATAATAATAAGAAGAAAATAATAATATGATGATGACTTTGGTGATGATAATGATGATGATGATGACGATGATGGTGATGACGATGATGCTGACGGTGATGCTGATGATGATGCTGATGCTGGTGGTGACGCTGCTGCTGCTGTTGTTGATGATGATGATGATGATGGTGCTGCTGCTGCTGTTGATGATGATGATGATGATGGTGATGCTGCTGCTGATGATGATGATGATGAAGATGAAGCTGATGATGATGATGATGATGGTACGCATGTTGTTGTCGATGGTGATGATGATCATGATGCTCATGATCATGATGATCGTGATAACTATTTTGTTCGAAAAGAACCGCGTCACAAGCGACGAGCAAAACAGCGTCACAAGCGACGAGATGAACAGTGTCACAAGCGAACGCCTCACCCTTGGGAACCCTTGCTTGGTAACCTTGCTTGGGAACCTGTTCCTGAAAACCTTGTTTAGAGATCTGTTCTTGGGAACCTTGCTTGCGAACATGTTCTTGGCAACCTTGCTTGGAAACCTGTTCTTGAAACCCTTGCTTGGCAACCTTGCTTGGGAACCTGTTCTTGGAAACCTTGCTTGAGAACGCTTGCTTGGTAACCTTGCTTGGGACTATGTGCTTGGGACCATGTTCCTGAAAACCTTGCTTCGAGATGTTTTCTTGGGAACCTTGCTTGCAAACCTGTTCTTGGCAACCTTGCTTGTAAACCTGTTCTTGGCAACCTTGCTTGGAAACCTGTTCTTGGAGCCCTTGCTTGGCAACCTGTTCTAGGGAACCTTGCTTGGAACCCTTTTCTTGGGAACCTTGCTTGGGAACCTGTTTCCTGGGAACACTGGGAACCTGTTCCTGGGAACTTGGGAACTTTGGGAGTCCGGATTTTGGCTGCTCCGACTTGCTCCGAGACCTTTACTATGGCTGAAGACCCCAAGCTTACGCTGCTTGGGAATAATTTTCATAATAAAGAACAATGATAATAATAATGGTAACCAACATATATATAATTACACATATAAATATATATATAATAACTACATATATATATATACTGTATTGTATATGACTGGGTAATTTTCCATTGCCATGTTTGATTGCCATGTTGGGTATGTGATGACCAAACATAGCTGGGGGGCACCACCTTGTAGGACACGCCGGGGGGGCAGATGGCGTCCCTCTCCCAGATGATTGCGTGGTCCGGTCAGGTACGGTTTGGCCTCTGATGTGGAGCCTGAGTCCACTGGGGAGCAGGTGATGAAGAAGGTGGAGGACTGGCTGACATGAACATCCCCCATAAAAGGAGGTTGAATTCGCTGGGAAAATCATCGAACTACATGGTGGACTTTTCATTGCTATGTTTAACTGGTTGACTACTGGAGGGGCACCTAAGATTCTGAAAACCAGAAAACAGGAAATCCCACGGTAGGTTTTACAACTGGATGTTTTTCGGGCATGTTGCTGGTGACTCTACAGCTGGAATGTGTTTTTCCCCACACCTGCATGGCAAAAGAGCCAATGTATAAAGACCCAGCAGGAATCAGACCTGAAGTCGGGAAATGCTCACTGTTCAACTGAGCTAACTAGTTAGTAAGTGGTTTATAAATTACAAAAATATCCCAATGAAATTACTTTACTTCGTGTGATCCCCACCATGACATTTATACATTTTGTTACTGGCAAATCTTCTGGCATTCTATCTGACATATTTTCTGGCATTCGATCTGGCATTCTATCTGGCATATCTTCTGGCATTCTACCTGGCAGATGTTCTGGCATATCTCCTGGCAGATGTTCTGGCATATCTTCTGGCATATCTTCTGGCATATGTTCTGGCATATCTTCTGGCATTCCATCTGGCATTCTATCTGGCATATCTTCTGGCATATTATCTGGCAAATCTTCTGGCATTCCATCTGGCATTCCATCTAGCATATCTTCTGGCATATTATCTGGCAAATCTGCTGGCATTCTATCTGGCAAACATTCTGGCACTTTATCTGGCATATCTTCTGGCATTCTAGCTGACATTCTATCTAGCATTCTATCTGGCATACCTTCTGGCATTCTATCTGGCATATCTTCTAACATTCTATCTGGCATATCTTCTGGCACTCTATGTGGCATATCTTTTGGCGGGGATACTCGCGGTTGAGGTCCGGCAGGGAACACTGGGCGTGGATGGTCGTGGTTGAGGTCCGGCAGGGAACACTGGGCGGGGATACTCGCGGTTGAGGTCCGGCAGGGAACACTGGGCGTGGACCTGGATGGTCGTGGCTGAGGTCCGGCAGGGAACACTGGGCGGGGATACCCGCGGTTGAGGTCCGGCAGGGAACACTGGGCGTGGATGGTCGTGGTTGAGGTCCGGCAGGGCACACTGGGCGTGGATGGTCGTGGTTGAAGTCCGGCAGGGAGCAGGAGGAGAGGAGACGAGGAGAGGAGACGAGGAGAGGAGACGAGGAGAGGAGAGGAGAAGAGAGGAGAGCAGGAGGAGGAGAAGGAGGACGAGAAGAGGGAGGAGAAGGAGGAGGACGAGGACGAGGAGGACGAGGAGGAAGCAACTGACATAAAATCTAACAACCCTCACCTGGCAGGTGGGGAATAATCCATAAAAACTAACTAGTTAATTAACTCCATGGCCCATCTAAGAAGGGTTGTGAGCGTTTCCAAGCGCAACAAAGGCATCATTGCAGGTGATTCACCCTCCAGTTGGTTGACCCAAAGAAATCCCAGATTTCAACGACCCTGCTATAAATGAAGGTTTTAATGGAAAACTTGGATTTTCTATAGCTATGTGTCACTACCAGAGCGGGTTTATATCCGTTAGATTATCCATATGCATAATATATTATTAAAAAAATTTAGCTCTTTGTTCAATTGTATAAATATGTCATTCATGTTCATTATATCCCCATTATATCCAATATGTTCATTATCCATTATATTTATGCCCATTATATCCTAACATTTGTATTTTTTTGGTCTTAAATTTTGACCAATAGCCTGGTTCATTATCCCCAAACACACCATGAATCCCCACTGTATCCCCAATTAATTATATATATATATATATTTATTCATTACATATTCATATTTATACTTATAGTAAAAATACCCATATAATAATGTATGATACAGATATATTCATGTTATACTGTACAATACTTCTAGTAATACCCATATATTCATATCCATTGTTTACTATACACCACAATATTTATATACATATATGTATATATTCCATCACTATTGTTGGTATATCCATTTATAACACATTACCCCATATCAACTTTCTAGGAGATTATATCCAGTGATGTATAGTATATTTTTTAATATATTACATTATATATTCACTATTCCATTGAACATCCAGATTAACACAATTTATAATGCCTGATATTAATTCTGGATATAAAATGGAATAGTGAATATAAAACTTAATGTCTGATATATTAAAGTATATATTCATTACATTACATTTGATGCCTGTTATTGTTTTTCCATTACATCCCTTAAATTCTCCAGCTTTCCAGGAGATGGCAAAGGACATGTCTGTCCCAAGTTCCGTCGTGAAGTCGGTGGCTGCGCATCTTGGCGGATGTCTGTGAACTCTGAACGAAGGGGGTAGGGTTTGTTTAACAAGTGATTTAATGGGAATTTAATGCGATTTAATGGGATTTAATGAGATTTAATGAGACATAATGGGATTTTATGGGATTTTTTGTGATTTAATAGGATTTAATGAGATATAAGATGATTTTATGCGATTTAATGAGATTTAATGAGATATAATGGGATTTAATGAGATTTAATGAGATATAATGGGATTTAATGCGATTTGATGCTATTTAATGAGATTTAATGAGATATAATGGGATTTAATGTGATTTAATGCGATTTAATGCGGTTTAATGAGATTTAATGAGATAGAATGGGATTCTCAATGCGACTTAATGCTATTTAATGAGATTTAATTCATTTATAATTGGATTTTATGGGAATTTAATGCGATTTAATGAGATTTAATGAGGTATAATGTGATTTTATGGTAACTTACTGCGATTTATATAATGAGATTTCATGAGATGTAATGTTTTTTTTTGCGATTTAATGAGATATAATGGGATTTTATGGAAAATTATGGCGATTTACTGGTGTGAATTTATATATATATAGGATAGAAGGGGATTTTGACTGGTTTTCACCTATCTTCAATCCCATCTTATCTTCTTAAAAATCCTATTTAATCCTAGATACTCCTCTATAATCCCATTATAAACCCTAGCAAATCTTATATGCATATTGATAGATATAACAATATATATATACATATATATATATATATACATATATATATATACATATATATATACATATATATACATATATATATATGATAATTATATATATACCTTGAGCGCTCAAACCCATGAAATACCTACGTTATGAGGGTAAACACTGGGTTTACCTCCATTCAGATGGTAAAACCTAGGTATCCCGGGTAAAACCTAGTTTTACCCCAAACCCTTGATTTCCCATCCTGCGGCCTGTTCAGGTACACGCCATCGCTTCGTTGGATGGCTCCAAGGGGACATAATGATATGGTTTGAATGAATCTTTCAGGGGATATAATCAGCATATGCTGCTTTCCCATTCATCTCATGTGTTTTAACTGCTGTGCTTAGTGGCCTAGCAGAATAAAATTCCAGAAACCCTGTACCAATGGTCACAGCCGATACCCAAATAGTTTTCAAGCAGGTCATAGCACCAAATCAAAGCACAATCGCCATCTATACCAATACCTCTTACTTTGAACACTTAAGACTTGTGGTGGTGCAATTCCCCATGATCTAACCACCACAGAACTGCACACCCGGGTGGTTTGAGCAATGGCCCCATTTTGCCAGCGCCATGAGGAAGTCCGGGCCCCCATCTATCGGGATCTCCTGGAGAGTGGCCGGAACAGAAAGGTTTGAGAAAACAATTTCGCATCAAGTATGTTTATCATTTTGCATCATCCTTTCACACATTGATGCAGTCATATGCGGTAATACCTATATTTCTACCCAGCACCTCTGTTAATAATTACATGTTAATACCATTGAAACCTTGCATATTCTTGTGTGAAACATTTTCAAAGGCATGTACTGTGCACACTTTGCGCGCTTTATTGCAGCACTTTTGGTGCTCAATTTTTCCTGTGGCAAAATGCCTCGAAACAGGAAGTACCGTGATTCGCCGCATGAGGTGGCTGCTAAGGGGCCAGCTTTGGACATCAAGGGTGTCCATCTTGAATGGGATGGGGACGAAAAACTCAGGGAAAGAATGCGAGAAGGGAAACCAATTCTTATGGAAGGCACCAACAAAGTGGTTGACATCCAGGTCTGTGTCAGCCACCAAGAATATCTTATCCCTTTACTTGCCCGCATGGCTCATTTGCCCAACAAGCTTCTTCCTTCAGTGGAGGATTTGAGAATGGAAATGGTCAAGTTTTTGGAAGTGAACAAGAGGATGGTCGATTCTGATGTGAAAATGGTTGTTGACTCTGCTGCTCATATGAAGAAACTGTGTGGTTTTGTGAAAACCAAAGCGAGACGAGAAGAACCGAGCCGTGCAACTCAGCGGCATGCAATATGCACGACATAATCAAATATCATATCAACATTTTGTGTCCCAGATACATGCAAGTATGCATATCTGCACATACAAGTGATGTGATATTGTTTCTTTGTCATATATATTTCTGCATGTGCATAAGTAAGAGTTGCATCGCATTTCCTTCTAACATACTTGAGGTACCAGAGTTCCAGCAGTTGGTCTTGATTTTGGAGCCTGGGCTACAGGCAAGGTTCCTTCGCCCCAAGTTATGCCATCCAAAATCTTTCAAAGTTGTTGTATATTGTATGTCTTTATTCGGCTGCTATTGTGCTATGGGCCACCCTCTTTTAATGAAGGTAGTGGTTGACCAGATCCTGGCAAAGATGAAACGTGAAGATGAGGATGAGGACAACCTATCGTACGCTTACATTTTCAGCTTGTTTTCAACTGCACATGTTTTCAAACAGTTTTTGACAGAGAATGTTTGGTATAATTTCAACTAATTACAAACATGTGATAACTAGTGACAGTGTAGCAGGAGCCAAAAAAAGATCTGAACCCTGACGCTTGGGATAGCACAGATGATTTAAACGAGGAAGGAGCCGAAGAAGAAGCCCCAGAGGAAGATCCAATAGTAGAACCAGAAAGTGGAAAGGTTAAACACAAGGCTTCTGGATCAGGTCTATCAACTTCGAAGAAATTTGAAAGCCAAAAGAGTCAGAACACAGAAGGACAGAAGCGAGATGGGTCCCATCCCACAGGCACAGCCCAGGTTGCAGAGGCATCAGTAGAAGCATCAGGCAAACCAACAGACAGCAAGACTGAGGAGCCACAACCAGTCAAACGGGAGGAAGCCAAGGAAAGTACCAAGGCACCAACAAAGTTAGAGGGAGAAAAGAAGGAAGAAGAGAAGGGAGAAGAGCCAAAGAACAACAAGAACGCAAAGAAAAAGGATGAACAAGAAGATGCAGGTGCTACTGTTGAACAGTGTTTTTCACTTCTTCTTTTCCTCAATTGAATTATTTCACCATCCTTTTTGCCAGCACCACTCCTGGAAAACGCTTCAGGTTCCCTGCAAATGAAACGTGCGGCAATCTTGGCCAAGTTGGAAGCGCATCTTGGATGTAAAGTTTATGGATTCAATTGGATTCACCTGTGGCTATGCGCCCAAATGTTTCACTTGTATGCTCAAAAGATTTCATAGTTTTGATTTTGCAAAAGTAATCTCGCTCAATAATGAGGCTTCGTCGAAAAAGGAGTGAGGAAAGCAAGCACCCTGAAGCCAGTGAACGCACAGCTTCAGGAACAAATACTTTCAAGTATGAGTGATTTGCATGTTTTTTTCTTGGAAAAACTAACAAACTTGCAAGCCCCAAGATCATTACTAAACTTCACTGGCGTTCGACATGGAACCTTGCCTCATTGGCACCATTGTTTTGCTGATAAAATATTAAAAACCCAGTGTCCCAATCATCTCTATGCAGGAGATCACGACGAGACCCAGCCGATATCCGTGATGGAGCTTCGGGTGCCAGACAGCACCCAGATTTTTTCATCACCAGAACTTTCATCGGATGTAAAGAGAGCAATGTACAAAGGCCCAGGCAGAAAGAAACGTGAGGAGACTCCAACAGAGGAAGTACCAAAACCAGAACATGTGCCGCTTTCAGGTGACAAACCTGCTTTGACCTCATCTGCTGACAAGAAGGGTGACTTTACGGATGATGATGGTGAGGCTGGCTGGGGTTTGGTAGGGTTAGTTTGTTTCACTCTTTCCAAAGATTTTGCATTTGTTCTCAAGTCTTGGTGGTATGCTTCCACCTGGGAGGCAGCCTATATTCGCAGAAAGAACCGGTGAAGGGGAGAGGCAGAGGCAGAGGACGAGGAGGAACGGGTAGAGGTAGAGGGATGTCAGCTGAAGGAGGTAAAGGCAGGGGCCGAGGAGGGAAGAAAAAAACAGATGTTGACGATGAAATGCAGGAAGATGAGACTGAGAACCAAGCTTCAGCAAATGGCAAGGCATCTACAAAGAAGGCAAAACATGAGAACTTGAAAAGCAAGATGGATGACAGCAATTGGTACTACGCTGGGGTGGGGTGGGATGAAACTTGTTTTGATGAGGACGGCAACCTTGATGAGCAGGCTGTTTGGTGGAAGGCACTTGAGCAGCTCAACCCGAAAACAGCAACTGCCAAGAAGGTGAAATCCCCCAAGAAGGTGAAATCCCCCAAGAAGAAGGTGAAATCCTCCGAGAAGGTGAAATCACCCAAAACTCGCCAGGCTAAAGCCACCCCAAAGGCCAAGGCTGAGGCCAAATGCAAAGCAAAGCAAGCAAAGCAACCAGCAGGGCAGTCAGCAAATTCACCAGTGAAGAAGTCAAAAAAACAGAACAAGCAAGACGGGAAGAATGAGACTAAAAAAAGGAAACAGTCACCAACCAAGAAAGCAGAGCCAGCCGCAGCTGCCAAAGATCACAAGAAACAGAAAAAACACATGGTGGTTGGGAAGTCTGTTCCGGAGCAGGTGATTCTTTACACCAAGAGAATCAACAAGTTTTTGATGCCTTTTGTGGGCTCCCCGAACCGCAAGTGCGATGAAGAACAAAAAAATTTGATTCGTTCCCAACTCTGGGATTTGAAAGGGACTGACCTATCCTACAACATCTACTGGTCAAAGACGGGTGCTGGTTTGAAATGCAAGAGTGAAGGAAGGGATTTTGCCTACCGCCAAGTTGACAACCCCAAACGCGGAACTTGGCTACTTCGTATGGCTACAGTATTGAAAGCTGCTGAGCAAATGGTGGCTTGTATGCAGTATGTACAACACAAACTTGTGCAGCAATTGGAAAATTATTATGTTGTTTTGTTTTGCTGTTCACAGTTTTTTTTGACAGGTGATATCTCAGATGGACTCCACAATCTTTGAAATGTGTAGCAATGATACTATAGATTATATGGTCACCCATGTCGTGTGTCTCTCCCAGGCAAAGCGCGTGGAAGAGATTCGTGCTGACCCAAACGTGGACACGTCTGACGGTGTGATCGATCATAATTTGATTTCCAACACCAAAGCTTCGCTAGATGAAGCGGTGAACTCTGTTATTGAAGGGTTGTAGGTGACACCGGTCTCTGCCCCATAGGTGATGCTACATTAGCTCTGCTAGCTGTGTGCTAGGGCCTGCCAACTTGTGAACAAGATGGCATCAATGTGGGTATGCACACGTTGGGCTGGCTTAGAAGCTATGATTTCAAAAACAATTGGTGCTGTTTTGGGGCAACTTTTCTTGAAAAAAATGTCCATTCTGTGCTCAGGAATTTTGAAATAGACATTGTAGTTTTTTTTGATTGCAGTCATGTATCAACATCTTTAGATTCCTATCAACAGTGAAGTCCTCAGCAGTGCCACTTAGACGAGTTTCCAAGGGGGCTACTGCAGCCAGGGGTCCAATTTGAGGTATCCCTTCCAATCTTTAACTTTGTGGATTGTTGGTTTGGGGGCGTGAATGATGCAACTGCAGTCAGTTGTAAACCAATGGTGGCACTTGATCAGTCCTTAGCCCTCACTCACTGGCTGCAAATCGCGTCATCAGACCTTGACACCAGCGCCGGCAAAAAAAATGCATAGGTGTCCAATGGGATTCTTCGTTGGTGAAAGGAAATGTTCCCTCATCAAGTTCCACACATATATGTATTTCGGGCATGTGATTACAAGAAATGCTGTGACATACTATCCACCAGGGGTCAGCTTTGAGTTCAAACGGGATTCGATGAACAGCAGCGAAGATTTGATCAACGTTCCCAACCTTTTCCTTGGCCAACCTCCATCGCATAGTGAGTTACAAACCACCAGAAATGAAACCTTTATGATGCCTTTTCGACTTCAATGGTGCCAAACCCACAAGAAACATGGTTGGTTTTGATCCATGTTGTTTTCCCAAGTTCTTGCTCCAATCTCCCTCTGAGGCCGAAACTTGAGAATGCGTTCAAAGCGAGGAACCTGTGGAAGGTACGGGGAAATACGCTGAAGTGTGGAGCTGGCATGGTTGCTCGGGAAAGTGGTTCCAAGGAAAATTTTGTATCCACCATATATAGAGGTTATATATATCAATTAACAAATATATAATTTAGCTTCGTAGAAGATTGGTTACTCATCCATGCATTTGTAACCTGAACCTTTGGTCTCCGCATATTTTTGCAGATGATCTCAGGAAGGCCATCAAAATGTCAACATCGCAACTTTGATGCAAAGCACATTGGTAATTAAACTCAATCTCTAGTTTTTGTGAAATCATATGAATCCCTAGCTCCAGGTCCCATTGTTTTGGGGATCTTCACCATGCTTTCAAATTGTCAAGACTTGTCGTGTTTCTGACCCTACTCCTTCTCATAACGGTGCAGCAATGCCGTTTGTTGATGATTTGATGTGGCGACTACATCAGCTTCAGTGTCCAAAGGATACAAGCGGGCTGGGGGAAAGGTCTTGGTGGATTGCACATGGTAAGAAAATATAGATGTTTATAAAGATGTGATATCAAAATCAAATAGATCAACCATTGTATATATGCATAACATCCACACACTTATTTCCAATTGTAGGTTTTTAGTGCATGTATGCATTGTGCATTTCATTCCCCACCCATCCCTACTTTGTAGAACCTCATCATCTTGTCCTGCTTCAGGAGTTCGCTTTTTGCATCCTCTTGATCCTTTGGAGCGGCTTCGATCTGCGCCAGGCTGGTGGAATGTGGTGAACCAGGGGTTCCCGAAAATAAAAGGAATAAAGGGAATATGCCCGTATCATTCCATAAGGCATGATCTCCTACAATAGAACATAGTTTCTGACACTTCCCAAAGTTCGCCATTGTCCATTGGTTGTTGTTGGCTACAAACGCCCCAGCCCAGTGGCAGGAGTTCAGCTACATCGAATACTTCGCAGGGATGGGAAACCTCACTAGATGCATGAAGTCGGCGCAGTATCGATCTATCAGGCTTGATATCAAAGACCACAGCCCTGAAACGAAGAAGAACAACTATATGGATTTAGCATCAGCTGCAGGGATGGCGTTTCCTGAGATGTATTTTTCATATTTTTTCATAAGTTGTGGTATTTCTTTATATGGTCTATTTGGGCGTGGGACATGCATGTAGAACAGTGCACAGTAAAGCCATGTCCAAAGATACGAAACAAATATGAAAATTCAGACATGAGGGTTCTGTGCAAAATGTTTAAGCTAAAGCAATCAATGTTTGTTCTTTGCTACCAAACAGCTTGTTGATCAACAATGCCCACTCAGGTTAGCTGTGATCGTATTGCTGAAGGGTCTCCATGATGACTTTGCCTCGCATTATGGAATGAAATGCTCTTCCCTATGCAAAGTCAATGTTGTAACCAGTATGAGGTCAGCCTGTTCCTCTCTTGGCTACACTGGCCATCCCTCAGTCATGTTGACCAACAAGCTTCTGGAGAGGATCCCGAAAGTTGAAAACATGGTCCCAAAACCTGTCAACAATTAACCTTGTTACTGTTGAAGTGTTATTAGGGCTTGACGGTCAGTTTTTGAAAACCAATCCCCATGGATATCCATAGATTTTGTCTATATATTAAGTGATACCAGGATACATCACTAAAAGTTTACAGCCATCCCCTCCATGTCCCACTTCCAACCTTCCTGCCGTCCTCTTTGCACGAAGGATGTGCGCATTGGTTCTCCTGACGACGTGTTTGGGAGGGGCTTGGACTGTAGAACAGCCAGGCGGCTCCTTAATGGAATTTTTTCCAACATGGAGATTTGTTGTGCAGAATCTATTCCGTGTTGGTGGACCTGCGGCAGTTAGATCCTCAGTTTTCCTAGTGCCCAAACATCTGAACCAATTGCAGTGTGTAAAGTATCTTATTGTACCCTTTCCTATTGATTGGCATGTGTTATTTCAAGTTCTGTTGGTTCATGTTTCGCAATGTTGCACATATTGGCCAACTATATCAGCACTTTGGTTTCCATACGCATTTTGATTCCCAACAAATTTCGAATTGGTTGAGCCCAAGGTGTCGACTGTAAAGTGGTGGATGCAACATTACAAAGCGCCAACAGCAAAACGCCATTATGGCTATGCTAATAGTCCTGTTGTACGACGACTAGATCGAGGAACTTTGCAACGGACCAAACATGGAAGTGACCAGCAGAAAATTCAAACCTGCGAGAAATACTATGATGGTTCCGGGAAGTTGCGCTATAAGGGGACCCGTCACCTGAAGGGTACTGAGCCCCTTGCCAGTAATAGTAACTGTTTTCCAGTAAAAACTGATGGTGTCCCTGGAAACTCCCACTCAAGTTAACCAAAGGGTTTTCAATTTAATTCCTGAAATAAAGCATCATCCCATTCTATGTGCTCACACCTGCCATCTGTCTTCAGGATCTACCCAATGGCCTTTGCTAGGGCAATGGTGGACATGGTCGAAGACCTGAAGGCAGGTGCGAAAGGGAAGCCAGAACTACCAGCTCAGGGCGCCCCTCCGGCTTTATACACCATGACGCAACTTGAATGGAACACACCAGAAGACTTGTGGACCTTCGCTGATTTTGATCAGCTTTTCACCTACTTACGGGGTTCGAAACGCCTTCGAATTCCTTTGGAGTGGCGAAATGTCATTCCATCGAAGTTGAAGACAGGATGACTTTTGTCAGTGGTACTTGCCGAAAAGATATATTCAAATATTCGATATATATGTATCGAATATGGGACCGGATG